TAGGTAATGGTGGGCTTGAAAAAAAAAAACGGTTCTACGGACCTACTGCTCTGATACCATGTCATAATCTAACGCGCATGAACTAATGAACTTGCATCAAGATGGGTACAAGTAGGAAACCCTAATTGGGTTGTACCCCAAATGGGCTACCCCACTATAGCCTACACAAGAAGCAGCATATGAGTTTGACAGCAGAATGCGCTAAGGAATGTTGAGGAAATTCCTTACACCAACCAACAGATTTCCACTGCTACACTCAGTGAGATCAACCTGAGCCAAACCTTTAAATCTTCTGTTTTAGATTGTTACATGGTCTGAGACCCAATGATGAGGGTTGTTTTATCAGGGTAATTACCATGATTTCAGGGTGATTTTATGCTTTCCACTTTGAGGAGATTGAAATTCCAGAATTAATGAGTTTTCAAACTTGATCCAATCAGAGTAATAGATCTCCTATCCCTGATTTCGAGTATAGTGTGATAGACTATCCTGTTAGAGGACCCTGACTTTACAGAGTATCGACTCTGTGGTTTCTGAATTTGACCTTATCGAGAGGAAATTCATTGAAAAAAATCTTTCCGATAACCCCAACTTCGATTTGATCGTAGTGCAGCCAGCGCGTGAACAACCCCGAATGAGACATTATCATAGCGAAGGTTTCAAGAAACTTCGTACGTGTACCCCCCATGCGCGTAATTCCCTCTCGCTGTATCCATTTTTTTTTTTTTTACTTTCGTTCCGACACGCTCACCATCAAGATCGTGGTGCGAGTTTCTAGGAGTCTTTGTACGAGTACCCCCATGTGCGTAGCCCCCCGCTTTATCGAGACGAAGTTTTTTCGAAATTTTGTTCCGATAAATCCAATATCGAGGTTCAGTTTCGATAATGCACAGCGCGTTACTACTCTGATCCTGACTTCTCGACCCTGTACTATCAAACTATATAACTTTCTAACAATGAGCAATCAGGGTGCTGTTTTTCTGGAAAATATGTCTTTGATGTTAAAAAAAAAAAAAAAAAAAAGGTGGACATCAGGGTATCTACACTTGAAACGTCAACCCTGCCACTGGGGATTTTTCGCACCACTAAGAGTGATTCAAATTCGAATCCAAGGTGGTGTTCGGTACGCGCTCCCGCCGAAACATGGCCGGAGGATCTGGTAAGCAGACGGCAAGCACTACCGTCAATAATGCGCTTCTAGAATAACTCGTCAAGCTCATCACCACACTGGAGTCAGGAATTCAGCAATTGAAGAACGACAACTCGGGTGCTTCGTGTTACGATCAGAGAATGATAGACACTAGGATCACTCCGGAAAGGTTCGCACACATCAGAGTAGTGGTGGTGGGCCCTTGACCTCAATAGCAGAGTGAATGTAAAATGCTTGAGATGATTAAAACACGCAAGTACAGCAAGTATAAATATGAGTGTAAGGGAATTCGAAATGACCTATCTAGCCATGTACTCTAAGGGGTACATTCCCTGATTCGAATTCAAACCAACCGTGCGACTCGAACAGTTATGAAACTGTTCCCGCCAAATCCCTCTTCCCTGCAGCTGCCCGATGTCGTCTGCTCCGACGGTCCAGATCCATGTGTCGCTTCGAGTTAACTCTGACTCCTCGCATTCATTCTCGATACTGCGTGCTTCACTTAGCTGCGGTTAGGAGTGCACAATAGTGTTTCATTATTCGTAACACCTCGCAAGAACTCGAACAACCGGCCGCTCCCAACATATTCGACCTTGGCTCTAATTCACCTTGCACAACTTCTTCTCATCCAAGTGACGAAGCCATCCTCACGACCCATAACAAGTTTCTGGCCATCTACAAGATTCACACAAGCAGCGGCTTAAACGGATGGGATTTCTACACGTCGAGTTTCGAGCTAGAGCTGCTCCTCCAAAGTGCTCAAATGATGTACGCCGGTCCTGCCAGCGACACCGACGAAGCTACAGTCCAGTACTATAGTGAATCACTCATGACGTAGAGCATCATTATTCGCAAAATGTCGCCGACCGAAAAATTACGTTCGCTCAAAACTGATCCATGCATAGGTATAGTTGAGTACGTGTTACAGTTGTCTGTCGTTGTTATGAATGAACTTACAGAGTGCGCATAATAACGAATAATGAAACTGAATTGCAGAATGACGATACAATGAAAGTGACGAGATCTAAATAGGGGGAAAGCTAGCTATGCAAGGAGGTCGGGATAGGATGGCCTGCGGAAGGTCGCGATTGGTGCGGAGGCGACTCGGTGAGGTTTGGGTGTGGAAATGTAGGCCCAACCAGTTGGTCACGTGGCCCTTGGGTTGTCCTCGCTAACGACTGCCTCAGTAAGGATTTGTGAATCCCTACATTCTTTCTCAAATGACTTGCAAGTAGGGGATCGATCGCCTCTTTGAACCGATACCCACTGTATGGTTACCATACTACAGTGGCAGTATTGTGCACGACCGAGGAAACGTGTGAAGGCCAGCTGGATCGTCCCTGCAATGAAGACCGATCGTGAGATTGACAAGCAAAAATCCTACAGTCACGAAACCATTTCGCGATTGGCTGAAAACTCGCAAGCAAGTGTCACATGGGCCGCAACACAAGATCAGACGAGACATTGACGAACAGGATGTTCTATGTTTCGGATTCTTTTGGTACAGATGATTTTGGCGGATCGAAAGTGCAGTGAGCCGAGGATCGACGACGAGGAATCGGTGTACAGCCACAATCCTTCGATTTTCTAACTTGCAACACGCCCTTCCTCAAGTTACTGACAGTTTCGCAGATTTGCTCAATCGCAATGCGTGGAGGAATGGGCAAACCTGTTCCAATTCAGCCACGTGTAATCAAACAGTACAGCATGCCCGCTTGACTCCACTGCGCGCGGGAGGGCGGGCAGGAGGTGGTGGTGGAACCTGTGGTCACCTGCTCGTCCAACCTCCCAAGCATGGACCGGTTTCTTGAAGTTTTGTTACGTCTGAAACGGTTAGAAAACCAAGCAGAACGGTACACAAAGGTAGCGGGTCGGTGCCAACTTTGCACGCATTAACTACCACCACCCCACTGACCTCTCCCGTCACATCCCTCGTTGCCATTGTTCGCCCTGTCGCCGCCACAACCACCACCATCACACATCTCCGCACATGACCTCTGTTCATACTCGTCTTCAACTTATTTCTCGACAATACACAGCCTCTTGGCTGCAGATACTCTGCAGATGTTACGTGTGCAAATCCGGAATATTAGGTCAGTGGTGGTTCTCGTTCTCACTTCCAGTAATTTTACCAGTCAATTTAGTTGGAGGTTCCACGGCCTTAGCCCGTGACTGGCTTCCCATAGCGTTCTGTTCTTATCTCTGGTGCTTGTCAGTTTCAGCCGCCATAGCTAGTTCCGTGTGATATCGACTTACGTATTGTGAAGCTTTACCAGGGCATGTGCGTTGGAACATTATTCAATCAGTCGAGGTCCCAATCTCGTTGCTTCCCCCAGGAGCCAGCACAATAATCTAGTCACCGTTTCAACTAACAACCAAAGCATTGTTCAGAGTTGACACTCAAAAGACAAATTCTTGCGAGAACAGGATGAGCTTCCCTCAGGGATCAACGCAAATCGCGAGCAGCACGCCAGATGAGCCTACCTACTGCCGAGAGCCAACCATTTCTCGTCGCACGTCGCTCTTAGATGTGTCGCCGGAGCACGCGCGACTCTTCCGAGCAACTTCCGGCATGGTTAACGGCGGCGGTGGAGTTCTTAAGGCGAACTTTTCAGGAAAGAAAGGTCGATCAGCGAGCGCAGATACAGACGACTCGTCGGCAGCTATTGGAGGGTACAACCGAGTGCAGTCGCTGCTCGTCCAACGGTCAATCGCCGTTGAGAAGCAACAGCTGCTACTGCAGCAACAGCAACAGCAGAAGTTACACCAGCAGTCGCAGCAACAATCGCAGCAGCAGTCGCACCTTCCGTCGCATATCAGTCGCACAGTGTCGCTTGTAGACGGAAAGACTGCTCTCGCGCTGCATCAAGGATTCACGCCGTCCATGCTGGGCTTACAGCGGGGGCATGACGACATCTCTCCGCTAAGATCACAGCGTCCGCAGTCACACTCTCAGCAGCCTCAGCTCGAGGAGCAGAAACAGCAAGCTGCACTTGCTTCTGACGATGACGATTGCAATGACGATGACGATGACGATAACGATGACGGAGACGAAGACGACGACGACGACGACGATGATGATGACGACGACGATCACGATGACGATGACGACGAATACGAGCCGGAAAACGAGGCGGATAAGTTCGGCCGGTCCATGACGCTTGGGTGCAAGCCCAGGTTCCAAACCTCCCCCGTGAAACCCGCTGGAGGGCCAGTCGGCGCGATCGGTCTTAAAGCTCTTGCGATGGCTTCTAATAACGCTGCTTTTTCCGGACGCAGCGTTGCCGCTGGCAGCGGCGTTAGCGTTAGTGGCGTCGCTAGCGCTACCGCTATCGGGTCTGGTAGTATCGGGGCCGGAGGCGGAATTCCTGGTGGTACCTACGGGCTCTCGAACAGACAGAAGATCAGCAGCGAAACTGGCGAAACGTTTTCACGGGCAGTGACGATGGGCGAAATGGACGTGCGAAAGAGGTCTCCGCAGCAAGGGCAGCAGCGGCGGCCGCAGCAGGCGCAACAGCAACGAGCGGCGGTGGGTGTGGCGGCACTAGCAGCAGCAGCAGCTGCGGCGAAAGAAGGAGGAAATACAGGAGCAAAAATCGCAGGAGCAGTAGCAGGAAGGGGAGCGGTAATAGGTGCGGGAGCGGCAGGAGGGGGAGCGGGAGGGGTGGCAGCAGTAGGGCAGTCACAAGGACTAAGGCGAGCAATCAGCGGCCAGGTCCTACCCGCTAGCTTGCAGAAATCCGCGTTACAAGGCGACGGGTTACCACCCGGCGCGAAGAGCCCGAAACCCCGTGGGTTGGCGGCAGGGAGTGAGGGTAACGCAGGAACTTTCACCAAGGCTGTGACTACAATGGGGTATAGAGGGCGGGCGGGCGGCGGTGTGCGTGCTCTTAGCCTGGGAGGGCAAGAGGTTGCAGATCCTAGAGTCTTTAGTGTGAGAGGCGCGGGAGGGGAGGGTGTATCAACCCCTACTATGGATAGTAGTGGAAGAGTGTTGGTGCAGCCGTTGGGGATGAGGGCTGCTGTTGCTCCTCAGTACTCCCCAGTTCAGTCACGAGGCTCGGCAGCAGGTGCAGCCTCGAGGGCAGGTCCGGGAACAGGCTCGGCAGCAGGTTCGGGGTTGAAGGGGGGAGGGGGAGGGGGAGTCGGGCGCCCTGCGCGGACCGTGTCCGCCATTCCGCGGATGGAGGGGCTTGGGGGAAGCGTCCCTGGGGGGAACACCTCTGGCGCGGGGGCATTGAAGTCCCCCACCCGTGCGGGGTTTCCCCAGCTGGCGCAGGTTGGGGAAGAGGGGGAACGGGGCGAGGGGGAGGCGGATAATCTGCCCATGCTGCCACCGCCGGGGCTGCCTCAAGTCGTGCAGGTGAGCTGATGGGGTTTCTATGCCTTTGAAGGCCTCAGATTCTCCGGGTGAGATGACGGGGAGATGATTGGGATGGGTGAGGGGTTTCTGGGGATTCACAGGGATTGGTCAGGTATCTAGTTTTCTGTCTTCTGGGGATCCACAGGGATTGGTCAGGTCTAGTTTTCTGTCTTTCTTTTTTCCTGGACGAGAGGTTATGCAAGGCAGTGAGGTAGCAAATTCGCCCCAAGAAGGAAACGTGTCACTCAGCTGACTTGGTGCGAATAAGGAGCTAACTAACAATGCTAACAAAGAAAAAATAAGGATCTCCTTGGTTTGTTGTTGTGTCAAAAGGGACTTGATTGTTCGGGCAAGTGGACGGGAGGGGGAGCATAGTTTTAAGTGGATGGAAGCTCATGGGGGCTCGTTTGTGTAAGCTTCGATCTTGTCGCCGAAGGTCATGCTAGCAAAGAAAATCGAAATTTGGAGCTGTATATTTGCGGTCGCTTAGACATGAGTTTACTCTGAACCAGGTGTTCAAAGTCTCAAGAAAAAAAGAAATGTTGGATTCGAGGAAATCGTTTTGAAACCAAAGCCTCACCGAATGATAAGAGTGACGTGCAATCTGCCAGTAACGGAGCAGAAACAGACACATTCCTGTTTGGTTCCCACCAGCACCATGGATCTGTCCTTTTGTCAAGAGATGCATTTTCCCCAGGAGGAACCGTCAGTCTGTCCCGTCCCTACGTGATAAAAGAGATGTTTTGAGACGTCTCAAAAAAAATTCCAAGGAGGAACCGTCCGTCTGGCCCATCCCTTCCTACTCACTCACCTCATCCCACAGTTTGTTGTTACCTCCTGCCCGTTACAGACAGGCCACTCATCCCAAAGTATGGTGAAATGAGTGAACTGAGGAGGTAACTCAACCATATTTCTGCTCCCCACGTCCTCCTTTCTCGTCGTCGGTTCCCCCGCCTCCTCATGGTCACTCGGCCCCTTTTTTCGCGTGTAGTGAGGTGCATTTTGAGGCGCCTCAAAATGTTCCCCCGCCTCCTCATGTTCACTCGGCCCCTTTTTTCTGCCCGTTCTCCCATCTCTTCCCCTCAGTGCCAGCACTGCGGGCAGCTTCTGGAGATCCCGGCCGTGCTGCCGCCCACCAAGAAGGGCGTGCACAAGCTGCGCTGTGGGAAGTGCATTGGTCTCTCGCGCTTCCGAGCCTTCATCCCACACATGCCCCACTTGCAGCTGCAGCAGCCGTTTCAGCCACAGCAGCAGCCACACCACCACCACCAGCAGCCGCCACTGTCGCCGCCGCCGCCGCCGCCGCAGCAGCAGCAGCAGCAGCAGCAGGGTAATCAACAGCATGTCCGCTCCTCGTCTTTTTCCGCAATCGATGCCACAAAGCAACAGCAACAGCAGCAGTACCTCTGGGGTCGCTCTGCTTCTACTGACTCTACGGAAGCCAGGGCCGCCACCGCTCTTCGTGAGAAATCTTCTATTGATGGCGCAGCAGCCACTGTACGAAGCCCTGGGGCTGCCAGTAACGGGACTGCTCATAAAGGGTCTGGTGGTGCCCTAGGAACCATGCCTGCTGCGGCTGCAGCAGGTTCTGGCAGAGGAAGGAGCAGCAGAGGCACCATTTCTAGCCCCTCCAAACCCCTTAAATCAGGTTTGGGACCTGGTAGGTCTGGATCAGGCTTGGCAGCAGGTCCGAGAACAGGCCCGGGAGCAGGTTCGGCAACAGGCTCGGATGGTCAAGGAAGGATAGGAAGGGCTGGGAGCTTTGAGTCGCTTAGGTGCAACAGCGCTGGAATGCTGTCACCAGTAGGCTCGGTTAGGAATTCGTCTGATAGTGAGTCTCCTGCTGGGACTCCCCCTGCCAAGGTTGGAAGCAAGGGAGGCGATGCCAGAGCTACAAGCAGTAGTAGTATGGGTAGAGTGGACTCTGGGTCGGCTCTTGTGGGTGGTGGTGGTGGGATGGCTAGTACGGGGAATAAGATGGGTTCTGCTGGTGGGGGTGGTGCTGGGGCAGTGAGTGGGGATGGAAGGTTGACGTACTCGCGGTGTGTGGTGGTGAATGGGGAGCCAATCAGTGATGGCCATGTGGCAGCTGCGGAGGAACGCGCGGGGCCGATCCAGCCTGGCAACTACTGGTAAGCGCTTGTGCGTGGCGCCATGCTTTTCGAAGTCTTTGAGACGTCTCAAAAACACCCTCACCTCGCCTGTGCGTGGCGCCATGCTTTTCGAAGTCTTTGAGACGTCTCAAAAACACCCTCACCTCGCCTGTGCTTGGCGCCATGCTTTTCGAAGTCTTTGAGACGTCTCAAAAACACCCTCACCTCGCCTGTGCGTGGCGCCATGCTTTTCGAAGTCTCCTAAAAAATAGACGCACCCATTCAGGCCATCCTTATTTCTCTCTCTCTCTCTCTCTCTCTCCCTCCCAGGTGTGTGGTGTTCCGTTACTAAATTGATTGTTTCACTCACTTTTTTACGCTCTGTTTCTCTCTTTTTTATTCTCTCACTTCTATCCACCTGTCTGTGTCACCAACTCTCCCTTGCAGGTACGACCAGGTGGCTGGTTTCTGGGGCCAAATGGGAGGGCCCTGCCTCGGGATGATTCCGGTGAGTTTTGAGTCGACTCAAAAGTTAAATGGGAGGGCCCTGCCTCGGGATGATTCCGGTGAGTTTTGAGTCGACTCAAAAGTTAAATGGGAGGGCCCTGCCTCGGGATGATTCCGGTGAGTTTTGAGTCGACTCAAAAGTTAAATGGGAGGGCCCTGCCTCGGGATGATTCCGGTGAGTTTTGAGTCGACTCAAAAGTTAAATGGGAGGGCCCTGCCTCGGGATGATTCCGGTGAGTTTTGAGTCGACTCAAAAGTTAAATGGGAGGGCCCTGCCTCGGGATGATTCCGGTGAGTTTTGAGTCGACTCAAAAGTTAAATGGGAGGGCCCTGCCTCGGGATGATTCCGGTGAGTTTTGAGTCGACTCAAAAGTTAAATGGGAGGGCCCTGCCTCGGGATGATTCCGGTGAGTTTTGAGTCGACTCAAAAGTTAAATGGGATGATTCCGGTGACTTTTGAGTCGACTCAAAAGTTACATGGGAGGGCCCTGCCTCGGGATGATTCCGGTGAGTTTTGAGTCGACTCAAAAGTTAAATGGGAGGGCCCTGCCTCGGGATGATTCCGGTGAGTTTTGAGTCGACTCAAAAGTTAAATGGGAGGGCCCTGCCTCGGGATGATTCCGGTGAGTTTTGAGTCGACTCAAAAGTTAAATGGGAGGGCCCTGCCTCGGGATGATTCCGGTGAGTTTTGAGTCGACTCAAAAGTTAAATGGGAGGGCCCTGCCTCGGGATGATTCCGGTGAGTTTTGAGTCGACTCAAAAGTTAAATGGGAGGGCCCTGCCTCGGGATGATTCCGGTGAGTTTTGAGTCGACTCAAAAGTTAAATGGGAGGGCCCTGCCTCGGGATGATTCCGGTGAGTTTTGAGTCGACTCAAAAGTTAAATGGGAGGGCCCTGCCTCGGGATGATTCCGGTGAGTTTTGAGTCGACTCAAAAGTTAAATGGGAGGGCCCTGCCTCGGGATGATTCCGGTGAGTTTTGAGTCGACTCAAAAGTTAAATGGGAGGGCCCTGCCTCGGGATGATTCCGGTGAGTTTTGAGTCGACTCAAAAGTTAAATGGGAGGGCCCTGCCTCGGGATGATTCCGGTGAGTTTTGAGTCGACTCAAAAGTTAAATGGGAGGGCCCTGCCTCGGGATGATTCCGGTGAGTTTTGAGTCGACTCAAAAGTTAAATGGGAGGGCCCTGCCTCGGGATGATTCCGGTGAGTTTTGAGTCGACTCAAAAGTTAAATGGGAGGGCCCTGCCTCGGGATGATTCCGGTGAGTTTTGAGTCGACTCAAAAGTTAAATGGGAGGGCCCTGCCTCGGGATGATTCCGGTGAGTTTTGAGTCGACTCAAAAGTTAAATGGGAGGGCCCTGCCTCGGGATGATTCCGGTGAGTTTTGAGTCGACTCAAAAGTTAAATGGGAGGGCCCTGCCTCGGGATGATTCCGGTGAGTTTTGAGTCGACTCAAAAGTTAAATGGGAGGGCCCTGCCTCGGGATGATTCCGGTGAGTTTTGAGTCGACTCAAAAGTTAAATGGGAGGGCCCTGCCTCGGGATGATTCCGGTGAGTTTTGAGTCGACTCAAAAGTTAAATGGGATGATTCCGGTGACTTTTGAGTCGACTCAAAAGTTACATGGGAGGGCCCTGCCTCGGGATGATTCCGGTGAGTTTTGAGTCGACTCAAAAGTTAAATGGGAGGGCCCTGCCTCGGGATGATTCCGGTGAGTTTTGAGTCGACTCAAAAGTTAAATGGGAGGGCCCTGCCTCGGGATGATTCCGGTGAGTTTTGAGTCGACTCAAAAGTTAAATGGGAGGGCCCTGCCTCGGGATGATTCCGGTGAGTTTTGAGTCGACTCAAAAGTTAAATGGGAGGGCCCTGCCTCGGGATGATTCCGGTGAGTTTTGAGTCGACTCAAAAGTTAAATGGGAGGGCCCTGCCTCGGGATGATTCCGGTGAGTTTTGAGTCGACTCAAAAGTTAAATGGGAGGGCCCTGCCTCGGGATGATTCCGGTGAGTTTTGAGTCGACTCAAAAGTTAAATGGGAGGGCCCTGCCTCGGGATGATTCCGGTGAGTTTTGAGTCGACTCAAAAGTTAAATGGGAGGGCCCTGCCTCGGGATGATTCCGGTGAGTTTTGAGTCGACTCAAAAGTTAAATGGGAGGGCCCTGCCTCGGGATGATTCCGGTGAGTTTTGAGTCGACTCAAAAGTTAAATGGGAGGGCCCTGCCTCGGGATGATTCCGGTGAGTTTTGAGTCGACTCAAAAGTTAAATGGGAGGGCCCTGCCTCGGGATGATTCCGGTGAGTTTTGAGTCGACTCAAAAGTTAAATGGGAGGGCCCTGCCTCGGGATGATTCCGGTGAGTTTTGAGTCGACTCAAAAGTTAAATGGGAGGGCCCTGCCTCGGGATGATTCCGGTGAGTTTTGAGTCGACTCAAAAGTTAAATGGGAGGGCCCTGCCTCGGGATGATTCCGGTGAGTTTTGAGTCGACTCAAAAGTTAAATGGGAGGGCCCTGCCTCGGGATGATTCCGGTGAGTTTTGAGTCGACTCAAAAGTTAAATGGGAGGGCCCTGCCTCGGGATGATTCCGGTGAGTTTTGAGTCGACTCAAAAGTTAAATGGGAGGGCCCTGCCTCGGGATGATTCCGGTGAGTTTTGAGTCGACTCAAAAGTTAAATGGGAGGGCCCTGCCTCGGGATGATTCCGGTGAGTTTTGAGTCGACTCAAAAGTTAAATGGGATGATTCCGGTGACTTTTGAGTCGACTCAAAAGTTACATGGGAGGGCCCTGCCTCGGGATGATTCCGGTGAGTTTTGAGTCGACTCAAAAGTTAAATGGGAGGGCCCTGCCTCGGGATGATTCCGGTGAGTTTTGAGTCGACTCAAAAGTTAAATGGGAGGGCCCTGCCTCGGGATGATTCCGGTGAGTTTTGAGTCGACTCAAAAGTTAAATGGGAGGGCCCTGCCTCGGGATGATTCCGGTGAGTTTTGAGTCGACTCAAAAGTTAAATGGGAGGGCCCTGCCTCGGGATGATTCCGGTGAGTTTTGAGTCGACTCAAAAGTTAAATGGGAGGGCCCTGCCTCGGGATGATTCCGGTGAGTTTTGAGTCGACTCAAAAGTTAAATGGGAGGGCCCTGCCTCGGGATGATTCCGGTGAGTTTTGAGTCGACTCAAAAGTTAAATGGGAGGGCCCTGCCTCGGGATGATTCCGGTGAGTTTTGAGTCGACTCAAAAGTTAAATGGGAGGGCCCTGCCTCGGGATGATTCCGGTGAGTTTTGAGTCGACTCAAAAGTTAAATGGGAGGGCCCTGCCTCGGGATGATTCCGGTGAGTTTTGAGTCGACTCAAAAGTTAAATGGGAGGGCCCTGCCTCGGGATGATTCCGGTGAGTTTTGAGTCGACTCAAAAGTTAAATGGGAGGGCCCTGCCTCGGGATGATTCCGGTGAGTTTTGAGTCGACTCAAAAGTTAAATGGGAGGGCCCTGCCTCGGGATGATTCCGGTGAGTTTTGAGTCGACTCAAAAGTTAAATGGGAGGGCCCTGCCTCGGGATGATTCCGGTGAGTTTTGAGTCGACTCAAAAGTTAAATGGGAGGGCCCTGCCTCGGGATGATTCCGGTGAGTTTTGAGTCGACTCAAAAGTTAAATGGGAGGGCCCTGCCTCGGGATGATTCCGGTGAGTTTTGAGTCGACTCAAAAGTTAAATGGGAGGGCCCTGCCTCGGGATGATTCCGGTGAGTTTTGAGTCGACTCAAAAGTTAAATGGGAGGGCCCTGCCTCGGGATGATTCCGGTGAGTTTTGAGTCGACTCGAAAGTTAAATGGGAGGGCCCTGCCTCGGGATGATTCCGGTGAGTTTTGAGTCGACTCAAAAGTTAAATGGGAGGGCCCTGCCTCGGGATGATTCCGGTGAGTTTTGAGTCGACTCAAAAGTTAAATGGGATGATTCCGGTGACTTTTGAGTCGACTCAAAAGTTAAATGGGAGGGCCCTGCCTCGGGATGATTCCGGTGAGTTTTGAGTCGACTCAAAAGTTAAATGGGAGGGCCCTGCCTCGGGATGATTCCGGTGAGTTTTGAGTCGACTCAAAAGTTAAATGGGATGATTCCGGTGACTTTTGAGTCGACTCAAAAGTTACATGGGAGGGCCCTGCCTCGGGATGATTCCGGTGAGTTTTGAGTCGACTCAAAAGTTAAATGGGAGGGCCCTGCCTCGGGATGATTCCGGTGAGTTTTGAGTCGACTCAAAAGTTAAATGGGAGGGCCCTGCCTCGGGATGATTCCGGTGAGTTTTGAGTCGACTCAAAAGTTAAATGGGAGGGCCCTGCCTCGGGATGATTCCGGTGAGTTTTGAGTCGACTCAAAAGTTAAATGGGAGGGCCCTGCCTCGGGATGATTCCGGTGAGTTTTGAGTCGACTCAAAAGTTAAATGGGAGGGCCCTGCCTCGGGATGATTCCGGTGAGTTTTGAGTCGACTCAAAAGTTAAATGGGAGGGCCCTGCCTCGGGATGATTCCGGTGAGTTTTGAGTCGACTCAAAAGTTAAATGGGAGGGCCCTGCCTCGGGATGATTCCGGTGAGTTTTGAGTCGACTCAAAAGTTAAATGGGAGGGCCCTGCCTCGGGATGATTCCGGTGAGTTTTGAGTCGACTCAAAAGTTAAATGGGAGGGCCCTGCCTCGGGATGATTCCGGTGAGTTTTGAGTCGACTCAAAAGTTAAATGGGAGGGCCCTGCCTCGGGATGATTCCGGTGAGTTTTGAGTCGACTCAAAAGTTAAATGGGAGGGCCCTGCCTCGGGATGATTCCGGTGAGTTTTGAGTCGACTCAAAAGTTAAATGGGAGGGCCCTGCCTCGGGATGATTCCGGTGAGTTTTGAGTCGACTCAAAAGTTAAATGGGAGGGCCCTGCCTCGGGATGATTCCGGTGAGTTTTGAGTCGACTCAAAAGTTAAATGGGAGGGCCCTGCCTCGGGATGATTCCGGTGAGTTTTGAGTCGACTCAAAAGTTAAATGGGAGGGCCCTGCCTCGGGATGATTCCGGTGAGTTTTGAGTCGACTCAAAAGTTAAATGGGAGGGCCCTGCCTCGGGATGATTCCGGTGAGTTTTGAGTCGACTCAAAAGTTAAATGGGAGGGCCCTGCCTCGGGATGATTCCGGTGAGTTTTGAGTCGACTCAAAAGTTAAATGGGAGGGCCCTGCCTCGGGATGATTCCGGTGAGTTTTGAGTCGACTCAAAAGTTAAATGGGAGGGCCCTGCCTCGGGATGATTCCGGTGAGTTTTGAGTCGACTCAAAAGTTAAATGGGAGGGCCCTGCCTCGGGATGATTCCGGTGAGTTTTGAGTCGACTCAAAAGTTAAATGGGAGGGCCCTGCCTCGGGATGATTCCGGTGAGTTTTGAGTCGACTCAAAAGTTAAATGGGAGGGCCCTGCCTCGGGATGATTCCGGTGAGTTTTGAGTCGACTCAAAAGTTAAATGGGAGGGCCCTGCCTCGGGATGATTCCGGTGAGTTTTGAGTCGACTCAAAAGTTAAATGGGAGGGCCCTGCCTCGGGATGATTCCGGTGAGTTTTGAGTCGACTCAAAAGTTAAATGGGAGGGCCCTGCCTCGGGATGATTCCGGTGAGTTTTGAGTCGACTCAAAAGTTAAATGGGATGATTCCGGTGACTTTTGAGTCGACTCAAAAGTTAAATGGGAGGGCCCTGCCTCGGGATGATTCCGGTGAGTTTTGAGTCGACTCAAAAGTTAAATGGGAGGGCCCTGCCTCGGGATGATTCCGGTGAGTTTTGAGTCGACTCAAAAGTTAAATGGGAGGGCCCTGCCTCGGGATGATTCCGGTGAGTTTTGAGTCGACTCAAAAGTTAAATGGGAGGGCCCTGCCTCGGGATGATTCCGGTGAGTTTTGAGTCGACTCAAAAGTTAAATGGGATGATTCCGGTGACTTTTGAGTCGACTCAAAAGTTAAATGGGAGGGCCCTGCCTCGGGATGATTCCGGTGAGTTTTGAGTCGACTCAAAAGTTAAATGGGAGGGCCCTGCCTCGGGATGATTCCGGTGAGTTTTGAGTCGACTCAAAAGTTAAATGGGAGGGCCCTGCCTCGGGATGATTCCGGTGAGTTTTGAGTCGACTCAAAAGTTAAATGGGAGGGCCCTGCCTCGGGATGATTCCGGTGAGTTTTGAGTCGACTCAAAAGTTAAATGGGAGGGCCTGCCTCGGGATGATTCCGGTGAGTTGTCTGCTGCTCTGCTTGTCTGAGGGCCTTGGATAAACTTCCAAATAACTCCAATAGTCAACCCCGATGAACTCAGCGTTCTGTACGACAAGTCTTGAGGCGCCTTAGAAATATCCCAGGATAAAACGTCCAATCAATACTGTAAACACACCTGATTCAGCAAGTTCCTGAAGGCGTGATGCAGTAGAAGACAAGGGCATTGCACTTTAGCAAGTGCCTTGTGTGAGTATCTTTCCTTTGGCTCCTTTTGAGTAACTGGTCTTATTGCGACGCCAAGGTGTATGTGAATGCGAGGGAGCTTCACTGCAAGGACCTAGGAAGACTGGTTGGGAGGGGACTCTTGCTGAAATACAGACACACAGACTCTTTTTCTTTCTCCTCGTGACAACTCTGACCTCTCCCTCACCAGCCTGGCATCGACCTTGGGTCTGCTCTTCCAAAGAACTGCTCTGGGGGCAACACCAAGGTGTATGTGAATGCGAGGGAGCTGCATCGCAAGGATGGAACCAGAGCAGTGGTAATAACATGATCTCTCTGACTCTGCCTGCCTCCTCCCTCTTTCCCTCACCAGCCTGGCATCGACCTTGGGCCTGCTCTTCCAAAGAACTGCTCTGGGGGAAACACCAAGGTGTATGTGAATGCGAGGGAGCTGCATCGCAAGGACCTGGACAGACTCGTGAAGAGGGGGCTGCCGCTGACAGACAACATGGCGTATCGAGTCGAGGCGAACGGGAATGTGTTTGACGGTCTCAGCGGGGAGTTCCTGGTCAACCTTGGGAAGCTCGCACCCTCGTGAGTGTGAAGGCTGGGTTTCTCTGAGTGATTGGGGAGATGTCAGGTGGGAGGAGGGGGGGCTGCCGCTGACAGACAACATGGCGTATCGAGTCGAGGCGAACGGGAATGTGTTTGACGGCCTCAGCGGGGAGTTCCTGGTCAACCTTGGGAAGCTCGCACCCTCGTGAGTGTGAAGGCTGGGTTTCTCTGAGTGATTGGGGAGATGTCAGGTGGGAGGGGTTAAGGGGGGGCTGCCGCTGACAGACAACATGTCGTATCGAGTCGAGGCGAATGGAACGTGTTTGATGGGCTTAGCAGGGGGTTCCTGGTCAACCTAGGGAAGCTTGCACCCTCGTATGTGGGAAGGATAGGGTTGGAGGACGATTGGGGATGTGTTGGGATTGAGAGGTGTCACTGGGGATGGGTTGAGAGTGGTTTCAGGATTGCATGGCTTGTTGAGTGGAGGCGAGCTGGTGTGTGAAGGCTGGTGTCTTAGCTAAGTGTTAAGTGCCTGGTCAGACTTGGGTACTGCTTACAAGCACACAAACAGATCTGCATGCTCTCCCTTTCTCTCAGCCTGCACGGGTGTTTCGTAAAAAAACTCTGTTCTCTCGTCTGCTTTCCCTCCACAGCCTTGACAACCGAAAGCGCGGACCTGGAATGAGGATCCCAGACGCCACCAAATAGATTGGCCCAGTCGGTGGCACTAGCCAACCATTCTTTTGAGACTAAGGATTGATGTGATAGCACCTGCAACTCCACATGTACTGAGGGTACATTCCGCTGTGGACACATGTCCCAATCGATGTGTCCCAATCGTTTCTACCGCACTGCATCGTATTACACCAAATTGCACCCTAGTTTCGAAATTTTCGCGTCTCTGGTTTAGTTCGGTTCGGAGCGGTACACTCGATTGGGACACATCGATTGGGACAGCGGAATGTACCCTGAATGAATGATGCTAGTACATATAAAAGATGAGTATAAACACTATCAAATGACATTAACAATGCTTGATTCTGAATGTGAAGGTGAGCCATATCAGGTGTATCGCTGTGGCTTACACCTGTATTTGGGTTTGTGGTACAGCCCAATGTCATTGCTGTGCAAGCCGCGTTGGATGATTGCTGTGCTTTCGTGGCACACAGATTTTGTGGATATCTTCCGATGCGGCACGATAAGATTGGCTGGAATTGCAGCATATTACTGAGTTCCCTTTTGCAAAATCGTGTTGTGCTGGAATATCAGCAATGATGAGCGTGCGCCCATTCGATCGCATGAAACATTCTAGCTCCTTCCAGGGGATGTGGATAATGATGGAGTGGTGTGTTGGCTTTGCTGGCTGCCCTATTGTTTCCCTGAATCTTTCGTGTTGGGCTCTCAATTCTTACAACCCGAAATCTTTGTGGGGGTACACGTAGGTCCCTTCGACTGTTGATAGGGGATGGCTGGACTAAACTGTGGTGGCTGGATGCTTCAGATCTGCTGAATGTTTTTGGATATGATTACAATCTGGAAACTCGTGTGTGGTGCAGTCTTTTGCGGTCCTTGCATTTGCTCGCCCACCACGCCCCTCAGATGTCAGGGGCTGTTCAAGAATCAGTGGCAGATTCACGCCATGCGCTATCAAGTGGCGTATCCTTGTGTTTGTATTGACAACAAGGCTCAGGGTAAATGCTAGTTCCTGACTAAAAATCCAAGGTATTTTTTAGCCGAACTCGGATTTTTACAGGGGATTTTTTCTGCCAGCCCTGACTGAATCCGAGCACTTCCAGGACTGACTCTGATGAATCCGAGTAGTCCCTCGAAGGACTCGGAACTTTTTCTAAGGCTCTAACCACCCCCAACCTCGCCCCCGCTCAACAAAGGTAGACTTCTCCCCCGCTTCCTGGACTTGTGAATGCTTCACTCCCGCCTCTCTGTTCCTTAGTCAAATTCGGAGGCCCTGTACACTTCCGCTCTCTGTGAGCAGAGGTCCACACGAAAGCAGCACCAGTTCACCGACACAGAGTTTCAACATCAGCTTTTGTCAGAAAGAAGTCTCCATTGTCGCGTATTTTCGAATTACTTTAACGAGGAAATTCTAGGCCAGCCCTGATATTTCCGAGCGGTTTTTCGGCTGACCCTGCGTTTTCAGGCCATTTTTTGAAGGGAGCCAAACCGTCCGAGTTGGCGAAAAGCCTAACTTAAGCCCTGATTGACAAACACGACACTTTTTTTTATCAACCACCATAACCCCGTGTAGCTTTTTTTATGACTCTTATGTGGGCATTTCCTACCTGATGTGCGTAAAGTTTTTGTTTCCTGATTCTCAATGGAAGTACACAGGGGCAGATTATAGTTTCTGCACATTCAAGGTTCAGCATGTGAGCTCAAGCCGCGTCAGACCCTTCCTCGGCGCCACGTCACCCGTCTGTGCGTTTCCCACATTCCAGTTTATGGAGAACATTACGATTGCCCCAAAACTACCCGAATAACAAGCTTTGCCCAGTAACATTGTTTTTGCTGCTCAGCAATTCGCGGCACATTTTGCAACGACTAAAGTGATTTGAGTGTGTCCGTCCATCAACCCTCGCCCTCGCCCCAACGTACAGTGACCTGCTGCTTCGTCGTCCTCAACCGCATCAGCCCCCACGATTCCCAACCAGATGTTGTCCTTTCCACCTCACTCCCCTTTCCAGCCTCAACTAGAACGCCTTGTGTTCTGTGCTTCCAGTTCACACACCCTTCCTCCCCCATCCCTTGCCTTCAGCAACCAAGTCAGCAACACAACTGTAGGGAGTTTCACAGTTCCACATAACAAAGCTCTTATCTGTTCCACGTTGCTTTCAAGGACGTTCCTCACGGGAGTGTTGCCTCTGTTTTTTCGTCGTGCACCCAGCCGATCACAAAAGCGCTGAGGAGTTTTACTTGACGAATCCGCTTGCTTCCTGCTGCAGTAAAACCACTGATTTTCGAGCTACCTTCACTTGCTCCTGCTCTTCCAAAACCATGGAGAAAGAACGCTCGTCGGAATTTGCATCCGCGTTTGCTTCCACCAAATTCTGCTCCTATCCAGCCTATTCCTACCTACCGCGACCGCACTCCACCGCATCAGCATCCATGTCTGTCGTCTCCGCTCTCAACCACGACCCCATGCTATCCGCGCAGCACTCCATAGCCCCTTCCTGCAGCGTCGTTCCCCCAGACGGCTCCTCCGCCTGGCCCGCCTCCGCCGCTGTAGCCGCTGCTGCGGCGGCGCAAGCGCAAGCGCAGTCCCACGCGCCCATGTGGGCCTCCTCGCCATTCCATTGCCAGGCGCTTCCGCCTCCCGCACCCAACGGCTCCGCGTGCTTCTCGTTCCCCGGAGCCGAACCTGCGCCGCCCATGTTCACGTTTCCGCAGTTCCGCCTGACGAACACTCTCGCTGCGGCGCAGCTGATGGAAGCGGGAGCTTCCGCCTCCGCCGCCGCTGCCGCTGCCGCGTCCGGATCTGACAGTAAGGGCAAGCGGCTCAACTAAAATGCGTCAGAAGCGTTAAGCAATCCGGCTCTCGCGCTGCGACCGCGGAAAAGAGGACGTCCTTCGAAAAAAGACCGCGCTGCAGCCGCGGCGGCAGCGGCGGCGGCGGTAGCGGCATCGCAAACCGCATCTGCAGCTGCACGAACTGCGTCCGCAGCGATTGGCGCAGCCTCTCCCGCCGGCGGTACCTCTGCGGATTGTAACCCGCTGGAACAGACAGCTACAGGCGTTACTGGCGGTGCCACAACCACGGACCAATCCAACCTCACCACGAGCCAGCCTGCTGTCACCGAACGGAAAATGCCGCAGCTTTTACCGCGTATGCCCGCCTCCGCCACTTCCATCCCCTCCGCCGGGTTTCCGCCCATGCACGTGTCTTTGCCGTACGGCGCAAATCTGACCGCGTCTCCCATGCACCCGTCGATGTTTTTCGGTGGTCCGTATGCTGCGGCGGCAGCGGCGGCCGCGGCGGCTGCGGCTGCGGCAATGGTTGCGCCTGCCACTGGCGCCGCTGGGCCGTGTTCGTCGCTAGGCTCGTTTTCGCAGGTCATGTACGAAGCTGCACAACAGCAGCAGCAACAGCAACAGCAGCAACAGCAGCTGCAGATGCAGCAGCAACAGGCGCAAGTCATGCAGCCGCAGATGTTCGCAGCAGCTACGCCGCTCAGCGCCACGGCGGGGAGCGCGCCGCCGCCTGTCCTTGGTATCCCGGTTCACGGTTATAATATTTTCTCCTTGGTCAAACCGCTCGAGAGCACGCTACGCGCGGCGTCCGTGAGCTTGCCGCAGCCTTCCGTTCTGAAACCCGCTATGTCCGTCGCGAATGGCGCGACTGGCGGCGCCGCTAACGATGCCGGTCTGTTACAGGTTCAAGAGCAGCAGGGCAGTAGCGGAGCTGTGAAACCTTCCGCGACGGCTGCTGCTGGTGGGGCTGAGAACGGCGGAAAGGATGGTGACGCTGCTTCACCGGGCACTGCGGGTCGATCGTCGCTTAGCTCTGAAGTGTCCCCCTCGCCAGATGCGATCCCGGCCATCGATTGGATGCTCGGGCAGATGAAACGTTCGCTGGGTCAGCAGAAAAAAGAGACTGGTGCTGCTTCGAGCGTGGTGGCGGAGCACGGGGATGAAACCCCTGCTGCAGCGGGCAGTGGTTCAGCTGGTAGTGGTTCCGCTTGGCTGCCCGTTCCCCGGTCGCACAGATCTGCCCCTCCCCCCGAAGTTGTCAACGCAGCCGCGAAGCTTTTGGCGGGAACTGGGACGCTGCTCGACCAGAATGAAATTAAGGGCCTTGGGAATTCCGCGAAGTCTAAAGCATCCGCATTAGGGTTCGGTTCAGTAGCAGCGTTTCCGACGAAGGGTGTTGCATTGAATTTTGCATTTGAGGCTGCTAATGGGGCAGACAATGGAGTCGAAGCAGCAGGTGGAGAGATGGGTGAAATTACTAAGCAAAGAGGAGCTCCTAAGGTTGATCTTACGCTCAAGCTCTGAAGATGGTCAGGACTCAGAAGGTTTTGCTGAGATGGCTGCTGATATGGTCCCTAAGTCTTTCAAGGCCAACATGGACTAGAGTTTCTAGTGTCCAGACCAGACACCAGGACGGGCTGCTGCTGCAGTGGTTGTGCAAGCTCTCGTGCCGCTCCATCGGCGTCTTATTTAATAGCTGCACTTCCTTATGGATTCTTAGGTACTGTCATTTCTTGGTGTGGTTTGCTGAGTGTGACAGCTATTTGTTTTTGCTAACCATTCTGATTGTTAGTCAAAAAACTCACTAATGAATCAAGGCTGTAAATCATAACTTTTATGATAGGATGTACGACCAAACCCACTTTTCCCAACCAGTCCTTGAAACGCTCTTTGGCGCAAGAGTTAAGCTTGATCACCCAACCAAAGAGGATGAGCTCACTGCAGCAACCACAGAAAGCCAAAGCCAGTGCGCACCTTTTTCGCGCTCACACCTGCTTGTCGTCGTGTCAGTTCCATCGCAATGCGGCTACAACCTGGCCCGTTCTGACCGATCATTACATTTCACGACACTGGTAGCTTTCTGGAGTGAATTTGACCTAAATTCACGCGATCAGCGCGCATTTCAAGCTGCAACAGGAGGCTGCATGATACGCCGTCTCGTCGCCAGTTCACCTGTCAAACGGTCGCAACAGACATGAGTTACGCGGCCTATAAAGTTGTCCACCCGCCGACCGGCGTCACATGCTGTGCGTCTGGGTTCCTTACTCGCTCCGCGGCCGCCGAGCCTCTGCCGAACCTGATCGTCAGCCGCGGAAATGTCTTGCAAGTGTTTTCGGTGCGAAGCGACGTGGTGCGCGGGGAGGCGGAGGAGGGGGAGCGGAAAGGGGAAGCGGGGAAAGACGGGGGAAGTCGCAATGATGCAGGAAACAGCGTTCTTCCTGGAGCAACGCTGGATGTTGTCTGCGAGTTCAGGTGGGGGTACACGCAATAATCAAAGCGAAGGTAAAACAACCTTTGAAGTCACTTCCTGGAGCAACACTGGAGTTTACTGGTTCAGGTGGGGATAAATGCAAGAATGAAAGTGATGATAAGTCAAACTCGGGAGGCGGAGGATGGGGAGGGGAAGGGGAAGCGGGAAGCAGCGTTTTTCCTGGAACAACCCTGGATGTTGTCTGCGAGTTCAGGTGGGGAAGCAAATGCAAGAAGGAAAACGAAGGTAAAAACGGTTACTTCCTTTAATTTTCTTTCCAATTTACCTCCTTTTCTCCCTTTTCCTCTTGTTACAGGCTGAACGGAGTGGTAGAGAGCATAGCGGTCGTGCCAGGCGCGGCAGCAGCTGACGCAGCAGGCTGGGTGGGGACTGGGGGAGGTGGATCTAACTCCACGGGTGGTGGGGGAAAAGGAGCAGGGCGAGGTGCGGCAGGGGGAGAGGGGGGCGGGAGAGGAGGGAGAGGGAGGGGGGGACGGCAATCGGGAAGGAGAGAAGGAAGAGGTGGTGCAGGGAGCGCAGGGGACCCGAGTGCAGCACAGGGTGCTACTGGTGGTGGCATTGGCAGTGGAAACAGCAGCGTTTGTGGTAGTGGCAGCGGCAGCGGCAGTGGCGGCATGGGGTACAGTGGTCGCAAGGATGCGTTGGTGCTGACGTTTCGAGAGGCCAAAGTGTCCGTGGTGGAGTTTGATGATGCGGTGCAGAGGCTCAAAGTCAGGTGCGGATGGTGCATGCATGGGTATGCATGGGTATGTGTGTGCGGGGGCACTTGCACTGGGCAGTGGGCAAGGCATGCCATGGCACACCATGCGATGCGCCTAGGTGTTTGTTGTGGAGTCCGATGATGTAGGGTTTTTTTGTTGTTGAGAATTCTCAAAAAAACCCTACAGCATCATGCTAGGTGCCTAGGTGTTTGTTGTGGAGTCTGATTATGCTAATGAGAGGCTGTAGTTACCTATATTTACCTCCCACCCTCCCTTCCATCCATCCACCAACCCAATTTGTGATCCCAACAGCTCCCTGCATTACCTCGAAGGGCCTGAGTGGACGGCCCGAAAGCGGGGCAGAGAAAACTTTCCGCTCCCGCCCATCGCGCGCTCCGATTGGTCGGGCAGGTGCTCTGCTGTGCTGGTGTACCGCTGCCACCTGCACTTTCTCACTCGCAAGCAGCCAGGTCACACCCAGACAGGTCACAACCATCCAGGCAACACAGAGACAGGTCCAGATGCTGCCCTCATCTCTCCCACAACCCAACGTTCTGCTTCCTTCAAGGGAGGCTTGGACCGTTCAACCTCATTCCGAGGAGGCTCGGCAGGCGAGGCTCCCAGGTTTGGCGGCTCGTTCACTATCGACTTGCGCCCCCTTGGGATCTCCAATGTAAGAAAGCCGCACCGCAATCTGCTCGGCTGTTGTGGATGCAAGGCCGTAGGTAGGTAGTCTGCATAATGATTGTCTGTCCCCTTGGGATTTCCAATATAAGAGATCTGCACCGCATGAATTGAGATTCTGCAACGTTGCGTGCACAAAGGAGGGGATTGCAAAAACCCAGATCGAAGGATCTGCTGCAGCCCGTTTGCTGTGCAAAAACCTCTTTTGAGTCGACTCAAAAGTCACCTCGTTACAATGGCACACGACACCTTTTGAGTCAACTCAAAAGTCAAACCCAGATCGAAGGATCTGCTGCAGCCCGTTTGCTGTGCAAAAACCTCTTTTCCTAACCTTTTCTGTGCCTCTTCCTATGTGCCCACCTCGATAGCCTTCCTTCCCCATGCCTCCTTCAATCAAGGTCCCTCAGAAGTGACTTTTGAGTCGACTCAAAAGTCACCTCTTCCTATGTGCCCACCTCAATAGCCTTCCTTCCCCATGCCTCCTTCAATCAAGGTCCCTCAGAAGCCTTTCCTGTACGCTCCTTCGTCCTCCTCCCCTGTCCTGTCCTCCCGAACCTCCAGGTGCGGGATTTTGTCTTCTTGTCCGAGCCTGGAGACCCGATCGTAGCAGTGTTGTGGGAGGAGGGCAGCGCGTGGGCGGGGAGGCTGGGAGGGTCATCCCCCGCTGTTCTAGAGGCCCGCTTCTCCTGTGCTGTCACCTTTCTGCGAGTGTCCCTGCACACCCGCTCACATCTCATACTTGGGACCACCAAGGTGAGCATAGTAGCAGAGCAGCGTTGTGGGAGGAGGGCAGCGTATGGGCGGGAGGCTGGGAGGCTCGTCCCCTGCTGTTCTAGGGGCCCGCTTCTCCTGTGCTGTCACCTTTCTGCGAGTGTCCCTGCACACCCGCTCACACCTCATTCTTGGGACGACCCCCTCACACCAGCGGATTTTCTCTGCGATGGTCATTGCCTCCCTCTCCCCTCCCTCTCCCCCCTCGCTCCGCCCTTCTTGCAGCATCTTCCTTTCAATTCTTGCAGTCTGTTCCCCGCCCCCTTCCCCAAAACCTCTTCCCCTCTCCCCTCCCGCTCCCTCCCTCTCCCCTCCCGCTCTCCTCGCTCTCCCCCCCTTCTCCCCCCACACTCCACCGTTCTTGCAGCATCTCCCCTTGGACGCCTACGCGCTCTTCCCGGCCCCCTTCCCCCTCTGGAGTGGAGCCGGCTCGTCCTCCCTCCCCACTCGTGTGTTTTGAGTCGACTCAAAACACGCCCCCTTCCCCCTCTGGAGTGGAGCCGGCTCGTCCTCCCTCCCCACTCGTGTGTTTTGAGTCGACTCAAAACACGCCCCCTTCCCCCTCTGGAGTGGAGCCGGCTCGTCCTCCCTCCCCACTCGTGTGTTTTGAGTCGACTCAAAACACGCCCCCTTCCCCCTCTGGAGTGGAGCCGGCTCGTCCTCCCTCCCCACTCCCTCCACTTCCGCTCCTTGAGAATTCTTAAAAACGAGCCTTCCCTCCCTACCCTCCCTGCTCCACCCTTCCTGCAGCATCTTCCGTTTGACTCCTACGCGCTCTCCCCCGCCCCGTTCCCCCCCGGGGGGCTCCTCGTCCTCTCACCCCACTCCCTCCACTTCTGTTCCTCCTCCTCCACCTGCCACCTGGCTCTCAACGATTCGTCGCCGCCCGCACTGCCAGATGGCACCGAGATCCCCCGTCCACGTCAGCAGCCAGGGCAGGTGCCGCTGTCTGTGGAGCTGAAAGCAGCCCATGCCACGTGGCAGCCTGTGATTGGGCCAAGTGGAGGGCGGGCCGGGGTTGGTGGGAGCAGCAGCAGCGGCGGAGATAGCAGCAGCAGCAGCAGTGCAGTTGCGTTTCTTGCGAGTAAAGGCGGCGCTCTGGTGGTGGTGAAAGTGACTCCTGAGGCCAAGTAAGGTCGTGGGATGAGTCAAGCTTAGGTTAGCGACATGGCAAGTGGAGGTAGGGGAGTCAAAGAAAGGACAGATGTACCTATCCCAGAATCTGTACATTGTCATGCTTGCAAGAGAGTGGAAAGCGGCTGTGCTTTCCGCTTGCTCCCTCTGCGTCTCTCCATCCGCCCACTATACAACACGTCAGGCCACTGAGCCATCTTCCTGTCCAGGTCTCAATACAGGTCTGTGCCACGGTTCGTGTTTTGAGGCGCCTCAAAACTGTGCCACGGTTTGTGCAGGCTAGTGCTCATACAGAAGCGCATCAGACTGTTTATCAACCCTTTTAATCACGAATCCCACATTGAGGATGTTCCTCGCAAATGAGCGGTTTCCAGTTCCTCCCTCTCACTCTTTCCACCCTCTCACCCTTTCCACCCTCTCACTCTTTCCACCCTCTCACCCTTTCCACCCTCTCACCCTTTCCACCCTCTCACCCTTTCCACCCTCTCACCCTTTCCACCCTCTCACTCTTTCCACCCTCTCACTCTTTCCACCCTTTCACCCTTTCCACCCTCTCACTCTTTCCACCCTCTCACTCTTTCCACCCTCTCACTCTTTCCACCCTCTCACCCTTTCCACCCTCTCACTCTTTCCACCCTCTCACTCTTTCCACCCTCTCACCCTTTCCACCCTCTCACTCTTTCCACTCTCACCCTTTCCACCCTCTCACTCTTTCCACCCTCTCACTCTTTCCACCCTCTCACCCTTTCCACCCTCTCACTCTTTCCACCCTCTCACCCTTTCCACCCTCTCACCCTTTCCACCCTCTCACCCTTTCCACCCTCTCACCCTTTCCACCCTCTCACCCTTTCCACCCTCTCACCCTTTCCACCCTCTCACTCTTTCCACCCTCTCACCCTTTCCACCCTCTCACTCTTTCCACCCTCTCACCCTTTCCACCCTCTCACCCTTTCCACCCTCTCACCCTTTCCACCCTCTCACCCTTTCCACCCTCTCACTCTTTCCACCCTCTCACTCTTTCCACCCTTTCACCCTTTCCACCCTCTCACTCTTTCCACCCTCTCACTCTTTCCACCCTCTCACTCTTTCCACCCTCTCACCCTTTCCACCCTCTCACTCTTTCCACCCTCTCACTCTTTCCACCCTCTCACCCTTTCCACCCTCTCACTCTTTCCACTCTCACCCTTTCCACCCTCTCACTCTTTCCACCCTCTCACTCTTTCCACCCTCTCACCCTTTCCACCCTCTCACTCTTTCCACCCTCTCACCCTTTCCACCCTCTCACCCTTTCCACCCTCTCACCCTTTCCACCCTCTCACCCTTTCCACCCTCTCACTCTTTCCACCCTCTCACCCTTTCCACCCTCTCACCCTTTCCACCCTCTCACCCTTTCCACCCTCTCACCCTTTCCACCCTCTCACCCTTTCCACCCTCTCACCCTTTCCACCCTCTCACCCTTTCCACCCTCTCACCCTTTCCACCCTCTCACCCTTTCCACCCTCTCACCCTTTCCACCCTCTCACTCTTTCCACCCTCTCACCCTTTCCACCCTCTCACCCTTTCCACCCTCTCACCCTTTCCACCCTCTCACCCTTTCCACCCTCTCACCCTTTCCACCCTCTCACCCTTTCCACCCTCTCACCCTTTCCACCCTCTCACCCTTTCCACCCTCTCACCCTTTCCTCCCTCTCACTCTTTCCACCCTGTCACCCTTTCGTCCCTCAAAACATTTCCACCTCCTCCACACCGCCCCACCCAGCCCCTTCTGTTTGAGCATGCTGCATGTTCGTGCCTTGTATTGAGCTTACCTGTTCCCCACTCACTTCACTGCCCCCCCCCCTCCCCAACCCAACGTTATTCCACAGGGCGACTACATTCCGCTTGGATCTGCTGCAGGTTTGGGCCACCGTGCAGGCAGGCAAGCAGGCAGGCAGGCAGGCAGGCAGGCAGGCAGCTATCAGTCATCATCAGGCTATTGAGCCCTTTTTCTCCAACACCTCCGCCCCCTGTCACCCCACACCCCCATCCTCCCCACCTTATGCCACAGAGTGACTACATTCCGCTTGGACCTACTGCAGGGTTCGGGCCACCGTGCAGGCTTCGGGCATCCTCAGCCTCGGCCCGAACCTGCTGTTCGTGGCCAGCAGGCTCGGCGACAGCATGCTCATTCGCTACCGAGCCAACGAGCACGGACTGGTAAGTCACGATGTAAGCAAGGATTTCGTAGTTTATTTCCAATCTCTCACACACAGTGTTGCATCTTACAGACGAGAGATGCCCCTGGCTTTTCTCCTGACCTGTCCTTCTTCCACTAATTTGCACCTGATTCAATTCACACCACAAACTCCCCACAAACTCGATATCTTTCCCCTCTGCCTCCACCGTTCGCACCTCCCTTCGTCTCCCCCTTTCATCCCCTCTTTTCCCCTTGCTCTTCGCCTCCACTCCGCCTCCCCCCTCCTTTCCTACTTTCCATCCCTCCTATCTGTGCCCACGCGTGTTTATTCCAGGAGAAGCAGCGAGGGGCCAAGCGCTTGAAAGCAGACGAAGCCTCTGATGGCGAAGGCACTGCTGCAGCTGTTCCTGCAGCTCCTGCTGATGCAGCTGCTGGTGCGGAGGAGGACGAGGAGCAGGGGCAGGAGGGCTTCTCCTTCCGTGTGTGCGACTCGCTGCTCAACATCGGCCCCATCCGAGACCTCGTGCCCGTCCCAGCATTCCCCACGCCCACTTCCCAGCAGCAACAGCAGCAGCAACAGGAAGTGGGAAAGCTGCAGATGCTAGTGGCGTGCAGTGGGCATGGGAAGAACGGTGCGCTGTCGGTGCTGCTGCAGCGAGTGCCACTGGACGTGCTCACACAGGTACGCCCAGCCCACTCCCCAGAAGGAACAGCAACAGCAGCAGCAGCATCAGATGCTGGTGGCGTGCAGTGGGCATGGGAAGAATGGCGCTCTGTCGGTGCTGCTGCAGCGAGTGCCACTGGACGTGCTAACACAGGTACTGCGTGGTGCTGGGGGTGAGCTTTTAAAGAGCGATCTCAATATGGCGCTCTGTTGGTGCTGCTGCAGCGATTACCACTGGACGTGCTCACAGGTTCTGCCACTCCACGAAGCTTGGCAGGAGCGTCCTCTCACAGTGATTAAAACATTAAACGTTTTAGATATATATACATATATATACATATATCAAATATATATATTTATCGGTGGGTACCTTCCTCTCGTGGCCATACCAACCAGCATGATTGGTGATGGCTGCTCTAACCTTTCTGAAGCTTTCTCTTAACTCTATTTCTAAAGCGATTGTTTAGAGTTGTTAAAAATTGCTCACCTTTTTTTTTTTTCAAAAGTGCCTAGTGCCTGTGCCCATTACAACTCGTGCCTTCCATTCCTCCCTTCCTCCCTTCACCATCACAGGAGGATCTTCCTGGCTGCTGCGGCCTGTGGACTGTCTATGGCTCGGATCTGCCTTCTGAAGCCAGGGAGGGAGGAGAAGATGGGCAGGCAGCAGCAGGCGGGGCAGGAGGGACAGCCGTAGAGGGGGAGGGAGCAGGAAAGGGAGGTATAGGAGGGGTTGAGGGCGGTGAGCAGGGGTGTGGAGCAGGTGCTATGGAGGTGGAGGGAGGGAGTGGGGTGGGGGGTGGAGAAGGTGGGAAGGGAGATAGAGGCAGCAGTTACCATGGGTTCCTTGTGCTGGCGTTTGAAGGGCAAAGCATGGTGAGAAGGGAAGGGAGATGATGATAGGTATGTAGCATTTAGATGATGCATCAGTTTGCTGCATGTATCTACCACTCTTTCACGCTCTTTGCTGTCACTGGTATCAGCGGAAGGCAGTTTCATCACACACACGCCCACCCACCGTCATAGCCACCAATCTCTTCTCTCTCCTGGTCCCTCCTGCCCCTTCCCCCCTTTCCTGCTTCCCCCCCTCAGGTGCTAGAAACAGTGAGCTGCTTCGGGAGGTATCAGCAGAAGTCGGTTCTATCACCGACATCCCGACCCTCCTGGCTGCCAATTTCTTCCCCCTCCCGGCCCCTTTCGTGCCCCATCCCTCCCTCCCTCCCTCCCTCCTGCCTCCCTCCTTCCCTCAGGTCCTAGAAACAGGTGAGTTGCTTCGGGAGGTCTCAGCAAAGGTCAGCTTTATCACAGACGCGCCCACCCTCCTGGCCGCCAATCTCTTCTCGCGCCCCTCTCTTTCCTGCCCCTCCTGCCCCTTTCCCCCTCTCATGTACTTCTCTCCCTCAGGTGCTAGAGACAGGTGAGTTGCTTCGGGAGGTCTCAGCGGAAGTCAGCTTTATCACCGATGCCCCCACCCTCCTGGCCGCCAATCTCTTCTCTCGCCGCTGCATCCTCCAAGTCACTCCCTCTGCCGTCCGATTGCTCGCCAGCTCAGCCAGCCTGCTGCAGGAGATGCTGCCACGTGGCATGGTGGCTGGGAGAGGGCAGGAGGGTTGGGAGGGGATGGAGGAGGGGAAGGAGGGGGAAGAGGACGTAGAGATTGAGTCTGCTGACGTGGCGGATCCATATGTCATGCTGCGATTGGTGGATGGCCGATTCATTCTACTTGGACCAGGTAATGCTCTTGATCATTGCAAAGAACGGTGGTGCCATTCTTTGCAAAGGATGATTGGTACAACTATCTATGCTAAAAATGGTTTTTAAATAGCCATTTTTTGTGCGTGCCTGATGGTAAACAAGCAAGTAACAAATTTTTTTTTTTTTTTTTTTTTTTTTTTCTCCCAACATCCCACCCACCTGCAGATCCGTCCAAACCTCTCTCTCTGGTGCCCATTCCATGCCACCTCCCCTCTCCTTCCTCTGACCCTATCACGGCCTACTCTCTCCTCCTCTCCCCCTCGCCAGCCATATCCAATTCCCATAGCTCCACAACCACCACCAGCGGCACCAGCACCAGCAGTGCATTGGCTTGTGCCCTTGGCAGTAGTGGTGGCAGCAGCGGTGGTAACAGCAGTGGCAAAGGAACTCCCTCCCCTACTGCTGCTCCTCCTTCTCCTCCTGTTCCCCTCTGTGCTGTGGCTCGTAGATCCGGCCTGCTCCAGTTGTACCTTCTCCCCTCTCTCCGCTGCGTGTTCTCCTCCCTGGGCCTTGCGGATAGTCACACTCTCTTGAAGCACACTCCTGCTGCAGCCGCTGCTGCTGCGGCTGTTGTTGCTGCTGCTACAGATGCAGCAGAGGCAGGCAGAGGAGGAAAGGATTCTCTTCCTGTAGGAGGAGAAGCCACAGATGCAGGTACAGCCGCCGCTACGGCTGCCCCTGCAGCCGCCGTTACAGCCACTGCCACAGCAGGGAGTGAAGCAATGGAGGTGGATATTAAGCCTGGGGATGCTGAGAAGAAGGCAGTGGGGAAGCAGGGGTCGGGGAAAGTGGGGGTGGGAGGAGATGAGGAGATGGTGGTAAAGGAGGAGAGGAGGGATGGGGAGGGAAAGAAGGAGGCGAAAGAGGGTGATGTTGAGATGGATGGTGGCAGTGGTGCTGGCAATGGTGTGGGTAAGGGCACAGATGTCAAAGCAGAGGAGAATGGAGTGAAAACAGAGGTGAAAGAAACAGAGGGGTCACAGAAAAGAGAGAATGATGGAGCAGTAGCAGCAGCGACAGCACACACGCCTGCACCAGTTGCCACCTCAGCACACATGTCAGCGCCTGATTGGCCGAAGCAGTTTGTCGTGGATCTGCACGTGTCTGTCAACCCTGTCACCGGGCGGCTGTTTTTGTTTGTTGTGCTTTCAGACGGGCGGCTGCTGGGCTTCAGAGCGTTCTGCCCCTCGGGAGCTTCCCCTGGAGATGTGATTGCAGCGAGTGTGACAGTAACAGGGGAGCGTGGTGTGAAGGTGGGAGGGCGAGCAGGGGGAGGAGGAGGACATGGGGTGGGGGAGGGGGAACCTGGACGAAGGGCAGGTAGCATTGGGGTAGGTGGATTTGGGGTAGGTGGGTTGCGGTTCAAGAGGGTTTGTTTAGAGGAGGAAGAGGCAGGGATTCATGAGGTGGAGGGGGAGGAGGAAGGGGAGGAGGAGGGAAAAGGGGAGGGGGCGGTGGGGAGAGGGGCAGGTCCTAGTGGGGGAGCAGGGGGAGAGGGCAGGATGAAGCAGGAGGGAGGGGGCGAGAAAGGGGGAGGTGAGAGTGGGGGAGGTGATACTGCAGCAGAAGAGAAGGCGCAGGGAGAGGAGGGTGTGGAGAGGAGCAGGAGGGCTGGGAGGGCGAGAAAGAAAATGCTGTTTCCGTTTCAAGGGGTGGGGCTGGAGGGGAGTGGAGGAGGGGGTGGAGGAGGGGGGTTTGGTGGGAGGGGTAAGGGGGGTGTTGGTGACAGTGGTGGCATTGGCGGTGTGTTTGTGGCTGGGAGTAGGCCGAGATGGCTGATGCTGCTGCGCGACAGAGTGTGGGTGCACCCTGTGGTGAGTCTGAGTCGTGCACGCTGTGCTGTGTCACGTGTGCCATGCTGAGTCTTGTGTGCCATGCTGAGTCACGCGTGCCATGCATGCTATGCTTTGGTTTTCGTGCCTTTGAGCATGCTGCCGAGGGAAAAACACACACGAGATCACACAAAACAAGCAAACAGTGAAAGATTCCTGAAATTCGTCCCTTCCCAACACCTCTAGATCATCCCACACATCCCACAGAGTCTATTTTTGAGGCGCCTAAAGAACACACATACCACATATGCCTGCCTGCCCAAACACAGGCCGCAGAGGCAGCATCGAGCGTGGTGGCAATGGCGCCCTTCCACAACGTCAACTGCACGCATGGCTTCCTCCTCATCTCCTCTCTAAACGTGCTCTCCATCTGCCAGTTGCCCCCGCTCTTCCAGTTCGACAACGCATGGCCCCTCAATAAGGTGTGTGTATGCCTGGATTGGGTACTCGGGAAGGGTTAGAGCCCAATAGGTTTTTTTTGCACCACTCGTTCACCTGCCCTACATTCTTCTCTCCCCATTGGTATTGTTTTTTCTTTTCTTTTCTTTTCTTTTCTTTTGATTTGCACACTCTAATGCCTATGCTCGCCGTTCCCCCCTTCTACCTCCACTCTCCCCACTCTTCCCCACTGTGCCTCGTTCTCCCCCCCTTCACAGATTCCCTTGCGCTCAACCCCCCACTCGGTCACTCTCTCCCCGGACGCAGCTCATCTTTTCCTCGTCACTTCAACCCCCGTAGGCTTATAATCCCCAGCCCCGTACACGTACGATAGTTGCAACCGTTTTCTTTCTACGTTCAAATGCTCCACTCTCCCCGCCTATCCCCCTCCTTCTCCCTTCCCACCTCTCACTCGCCTTCGCCTGTCAAGTATTTTGACCCGTCCCCTAATTTCTCGTTCCCTCTCTCATTCTTCTTCCCCATCTTCTCCCATTCTTCTCCTCACTTCCACCCACTCTTCCTTTCACTCTTCCTCTCACTCTCCCCCTTTCAGGTGTCTCGGCCAGTGTCTCAGTTCCTGGTTCCTTCCCTAGAAGACCCAAAAGATCCAACAACCGCAGCACTAGGCTTGGCCGGACCTGGAGGTCTGGGAGCTCCAGGATCCTCCGTCACAGACGCCGAAGCAGTAGCTATGGTTGAGGACTTCCAGCTTCGGGTGGTAACCTGCCCGAGCCTGGAGGCCCCGAGCCGCGCCCTGGAGGTTCGGCAGAGCTTTGAGTTCCAGCCGTTTGAAGCGGTGACAATGGTGAAGTCAGTGGTGCTGAGGAATCGCAGCAGTGGGCAGTTACAGACGCTCCTGGCAGTGTGTACGACGTTTATCACAGGGGAGGACGCACCTGGGAAAGGCAGGATCCTGCTCTTCGAGTACAACCCACTGGCAACAGCTGATGGGGATGGTCCTGCTGCTGCTGGTACTGGTGCAGCCGCAACGGCAGATGCAGAGGGTAAAGCGGCAGGTGGAAGCAATGGAATTCCCTTGGTGAGCCTGCCTTTCCGCTGCTTCCCTTGATTGTCCGTCTGTCGCCTTTCATCCCTTGTGCAGCGTGTGTTTTCCTAGAGGGGCAGCATGGCATGGCAGAATGTTCGGACAGAGCTGAGACACCCTCCTACTTTCTCTTCCCTTCCTTGTCTCCACATCAAACATAATCCCACCAGCTGAGGGAGCTCTATTCAAAGGAGCCCATAGCGGGTAGCAGTCAAAGAGGCAGCGTGGCAGCACTCACGGCACTGCAGGGCAATCTGCTGCTGGCGGTGGGGCGGCAGCTGGTGCTGTACGCGTGGAACGGGGTGGAACTAGAAGGAATTGCCTTCCTTGATGCTCCTCTCTACGTGGTTTCCATGGCAACGGTGAGTGGTTGGCGTTTAGTATAGAGCTCCGGTCCACTGCAAGGCAAAATTCTCTTGGTAGTTTGGCGGCAGCTGGTGCTGTATGCGTGGAGCAGGGTGGAGCTGGAGGGAATCGCGTTTCTTGATGCTCCCCTCGATGCGGTTTCCATGGCAACTATGAGTGGTCGGGTTGGGTCCGGTTCGGTACAATCACAGATCAGAGTGCTGCAACCAGTCGCAGGCGGTGGGGCGGCAGCTGGTGCTGTATGCACGGAACGGGGTGGAATCAAAGGGAATTGCCTTCCATGGCAACTGTGAGTGGTTGGCATTCGATGGAGCTCCACGGCAGTTTTGAGAATTCTCAAAGGCATTGTAAAGAGCTCCACGGCAGTTTTGAGAATTCTCAAAAGGCATTGTAAAGAGCTCCACGGCAGTTTTGAGAATTCTCAAAAGGCATTGTAAAGAGCTCCACGGCAGTTTTTAGAATTCTCAAAGGCATTGTAAAGAGCTCCACGGCAGTTTTGAGAATTCTCAAAAGGCATTGTAAAGAGCTCCACGGCAGTTTTGAGAATTCTCAAAAGGCATTGTAAAGAGCTCCACGGCAGTTTTGAGAATTCTCAAAAGGCATTGTAAAGAGCTCCACGGCAGTTTTGAGAATTCTCAAAAGGCATTGTAAAGAGCTCCACGGCTGGGAAACTTGTTCTGCTGGTGCTGGGACAGCAGTTGGTGCTGTTTTCGGGGATGAGGCGGAGATCGAGGTGATCACCTTTCTTAATGCTTCCCTTAACGATCAGCAATATGGCTATGAGAGTTGTTGTTCCCTCAGCTCATATGGCAGTATGATTTTGTTGTTGTCTAAACGATCACCAAACTCTCCACCCTCCCCCTCTCCCCGCTGCCTTGTGATTCAGGTGAAGAGCTTTGTGATTGTAGGGGATGTGCTAAAGAGCGTCTACTTCCTGCACTGGAGAGAGGAGGGCGCTCAGCTCACCCTCCTCGCACGCGACTTCTCCTCTCTTCCGATCACAGCCGTCGATTTCCTCATCGACGGCTCAGCTCTCGGCTTGCTTGCGGCCGACACAGCCAAGAACCTCCAAGTTTTTGCATACTCCAAGTCAATCGAAACACACATGGGGCAAAAGCTCCTCCTAAAGGCATCCTTTCACACAGGAGAGGTGCTCTCGAAGGTTCTTCGGTTGCCGCTGCCACCTCCTCTTGCTGCTGCAACAGGAGGAGGAGGGGGAGGAGGGGGAGGGCAGCAGCAGAGGAACCCAGCTGCAGCAGCTTTGGGCCGAACCAACAGATTCGGCGTGCTGGCAGGGACGCTCGGCGGGGTGATTGCGGTGGTGACTCCCGTACCGGAGCTGGTGTTTCGAAGGCTGGACACAGTGCAGCGTTACATGGTAACTGCAGTGGAGCAGACAGCAGGGTTACACCCGCTGGCGTTCCGGGCGGTGCAAGGGCTGGGGAAGGGGCAGCAGCATTCCGGAGTGGAGCGAATGATTGACTCTCAGCTTCTTGCTCAGTGAGTTGACCTTTCCCATGCCGCCATGCATCCGCACACCCTTCGACCCTTGTTTCCCATGCCGGCCCCCATTTAGCATGCTCCCACCAGGTACGCATGGAGACAGTCAGCACCACTCACATCAGCACCAACCTCAGAACTCCCCATGCTCCCATCCACCCATGTGTCCCATGCGTCCTATGCACCCACCAGGTATGCACTGATGGAGGACAGTCAGCAGCAGCAGCTAGCAGAGGACGTCGGTTCCACTCGTCCCATGGTGCTGCAGAACCTGCGGGACCTTGCCCACAATGCCATGCTCTTCTAGCCAGAGCCCTGTTACTGTTCTCTTCAACCACAATCTCCTGACTGTGTCGGGAAAGGGCCAACTGCTTTACCTAAGGCATAAGGCACCAAGGAGCAGAGCAGCACCTAGCACAAGGCATGGGCTCCAGATGAGTCATGTCATGCCCACGAGTCAAATGGTGCTGCAGAACCCCCGGCCGGGCCGGAGCCTCAAGCACAGCGCCTTGATCCTGCGGCGAATGTCAACCGTGCGCCGTGGGGAACCCGTTTCAAACCGTTTCCCTTACTGATGCATCGGCTTGCGACAGTCCTGATGCTCCAACCGTTTCCGACACACCTTGGCCCTTCATCTTCATCTTCGGTACTAGCGAATCTAGCAAATTTGACGAATCGGAACAGTTCTATAACCGAAAAGGCTGAAAGGGCCAGGATGCGGAAATGAGGCAACCTAAGAACTCTAAAAGCGACTTGGGCATACCATGTAGGGTAGAATGCCGGTATCGTTTCTAGAACCTTGTTGTGTGCGCTTGATTGACCCGTGACCAGGGCTGGCCATTCACATTAGGCCTCCCTGAATCCGGGGAAAAAAATCACCTTGTATTATGGGTGCCAATTTTTCAAAAGTTTGCCAGTCTGATTGCTCAGTGTCCAACGTCGTCTCACTCTTATTCGTCAGAGTACAGCAATAAATCAGCGTTGCAGTCAATCACTAACACACAAATTTCCCCCGCGCGGCACCGCATAGTCGCATTGGTACAACAAAGCTGTACACCTAGTCCGCGCCTCAGTTTACCTTTAAAGCCCCTGTTGACCTTATCTGACTAGAGGGATCAGACACCCCGGAATTGGAGGCTATTCGTGGCATTGTGGAGTGTCGATGTTGTAGAACTCTTACTCTGGGACTGCAGCGCAAAGACTGGATCTTCCGCTACGACCATGTTTTTTGTTTTTGTAACTGCGACCCAATCGTACCCTCTTTAAAGCCGGCAGCCCAAATTGTTCATGCTTTTAAAAGTTGACCAGAGAGAGTTTTTCTGGTGTGGGCTTTGGCGAGAGTTTCCGATTTCGTTTAGGTTCGTTTTTTTCGCAAGACCCAGCCAACCCTCGTTTCCCCCCGTGGTGAGTAATCTGTCTTCGAAAGTCCCAAATTGCGGACCTTGACTCTCGCGGTCCGCAATTCGGGACACGGGCTTTAACCCAAACTGTTTAAAACAACCCCTAATTGTGACACGACTTTCAGAGGAGTGTGCAGTGCAGTCGTCATAGCATTTCACATCTCAAGTATACAGCACACTCGATAATATGGAATACATATGGTGTTCTAAACGGGAACAAGATACGCACAAGCGATCCAGTGTATAAGGGAGAGGAGGGTGGGAACTAGAGAAGTGAAAACTGCAAATGAGACTAGGTGGTAGGTCCCGAGGACCTGCCGAAAGGTAAAGGAGAATGTCTCCTTTACAGCAAACCCCTCTTCAAGTCGAACCACAATCTGTAAAATTTTTTGTTACAAAAAAATTCTCATATTGTGACACGACTTTCAGAGGAGTGTGCAGTGCAGTCGTCATAGGTCGAACGAGACATCAGGGGAGAGGTCGGCGGCGACCCCTCTCGAATGTGATCAAGTACCGATCGGTCGGGCTAGATCGGAGAGGGTCCTGTAGTACGCGAGAGGCATCGACAAGCTCGCGATCGAGTTGTGTAATATATAGCTCCTTAGCCCTATCACTACGCCACCGACCAAGGGCTTTGAAGAGTCTGTCCGGCACTCCGACGTCGACAGCTACAGTTGCCGCCGATTTACGGAAGGAATGAGTGCCGAGGAGATCCGGGTTAAGGCCGACGCGGGCAAAGCCATCGCGGCACCAGCCCCGCACGGTAGCATACGAAGGGGAACGGTCGGAAGGGGAAGCCCCGGCACCCGGTTGGAACACGCGGATAAGAGGGCCGGTAGAATCTTGAGAGTAGCCCGCGAGGAAAAGAAACTGTTGGACACGAGAGACAGGGCAGTGGCGGGCAGAGGATGCTGCCACTGGGACCCAAGCACCTCTGCCGGCTTGGTCCGTCTTGGAGCGAGGAATAAATAGCCACATGCAGTCCCTGTCAAACTCGATCTGATGCCACTGGAGGGAAATCAGGTCAGAGAAGCGTAAGAAGGCCGAAAACATGAGAAGAGGGATCAGCCCCCGCTGGAATGTGGCCGGGTCGGATGACGAAAAATATATGTCGCAGATATCGTAGATTTTTTCTGGGGGTACAGGCTCTTTAGCCTTAGATGGTCGTCCGCAATGACGTTGTGCATACTCTTTCACTTGGCTAGAGAGTGGCCCGCGAACAGGAGACGGTTCGCCAACGAGCCAATGGGCGCACGAAATGGCGGAACATGTCGAACGGATAGCCGAAATAGGGGCGCCATTGCGGATCGAGTGCAGTAGGAATAACGCCGCGGTCAAATCACTTGAAGGAAGTAAAGGAAGAGCGTGCATGGTACAAAACGCGCGATATTGCCGCCAATATGGCTCGTACGTGCGAATTGTAGACTGAGCACGGAGATCGACGGTGAGCGTCAAGAGGTCCAAGAGCAGGGGGGCGAGCTGGTAACCTGCGTAACGAAAAGCATTAATTATTAGTGAATATTATTCGAAGGGCGTACATAGGAGAGTTAGGAAGTCCAGCCCCACTAAATGCCCAAGGATCACTTCCAACACACAAACAGTCGGAACCAGAGGCAAGACTAAGGGTTGCGGTGATATCACTAGCCCAACGGTCTGGGTGTAGAAGAGGCCACCAAAAGGCACTAGGCCAGCGAGGGATCACTAGGGTGAGGGAGGTTCTTGAGCGGCGAGCGTGGGCGAGAACGGCGGGAATAAGGGGTGGTAGTGGAAACGCGTAACAATTTTCCCCCAACCAACTAATTGAAAACGCATCCTGCGCGAGGGCCGCTCGCGAAAACTCCAGGGAGCAATAACGAGCCAGCTGTGCATTGGTGGGTGAGGCGAACAGGTCAATGGAATGAGCCCCCCAACGCCTCTCGAGCAAAAGGAACCAAGGACGCGCGAGAGAGTAGTCGTCGTGAAGTTCCAGTTTTGACAATGTATCAGCCTCGGTATTGAGCTCGCGCGGGATCCATTGGACCGTCAGTCGAATCTTGTGACGCACACAGAGCTGAATGATGGCCCGGCATACAATTGTCAGCTCGGAACGACGTGAGCCCCCTTTCCTCAAAATGTAATAGGCGGCCTGGCTGTCGCTGCGCAGAAGGATGTGGCAGCGCTGAACCTCGTCAGCAAAGGAGGAGAGGGCCCAGAGAATTCCCGCGAGTTCGCGAAGCGTGCTGGACGAGGCGACAAGAGCCTGAGGTAAGTGTAATGAAAGCGATCCGACGCGACCATCGGGTGCGGAATAGCAAGCCCCCCAAGCGCTGTCGCTCGCGTCCACATACATCACGATGTCGTATAGATATGGATTGTGAAAACACGAACCGTTGAACACATCGAACTGGGAGAGCCAAAAGCGCAACTCGTCAATTGACTCCGCGTTCAAGAGGACTGAGTCTCCCCAGGATGAGCAATCCGAGATTTGTGAAAGTAGATTGTGCGAAAAGGCACGCGCGAGGGTGCCGAGGGCGAGCGCCATAGAGGCAAGCATGCCAGTAATGCGAGCGACGCGTCGGACCGGGATGCGCCGCCCCCACCCGCCAAGCGTGCAAGTCTGTTGGAGCTCGACAAGCAATCGCTCTCGTCGATCAGCGTCGACGGAGAAAGAGGTTGTGCGCGTGTCCAGTCTGAGTCCTAGGAATTTGAGGCACTGACTTGGCTCGAGCTGCGATTTTTTTGAGTTGACGACGAATCCGGCCGCTGTGAGGTCGGCCAAGATGATAGCTCGATTGCGAAGGGCCTCAGCTCGAGTGGCATTTATAAAAAGGATGTCGTCAACATATGGGATAAGTCGAATGCCTTTGCTGCGCCAGCGCTTTGCGAGCTGCTTGATTAGTTGGGTGAAGACAAACGGCGCAGTGGCCAGCCCAAAAGGCAGGGATAGGAACTGATAGCGTTGTCCTTGGAGGGTGAAACCAAGAAACCGCCAATATGCGGGGTGGATGTCCACATGGTGGTATCCGGCCTTCAGATCGATGGTGAATAGCCAATCGTCTCGATGCACCAAGTCGGGCACCCGGTTAAGGCCCTCGTAACGAAATCGTGGGACGGACAAGAATGTATTCACGTGTCGAAGGTCCAATATGAGCCTCTTTTTTGAAGGTTGGACGACTACATTTAAAGGGCTGACGCATGTGAGGGGTTCCGACGGGGGCACCATTCGGGCCGCTCCTGTCGCTAGTAGCTCGGTGACTGCCTCGACCGCAAATGCGGTAAATTGAATGGCACCCGAGTGGTTTGCCGCGTGGTGGGGAGTGGGCTCCGAGGATGCCCACGGAAGACGGTAGCCGGATGTGATTACTGACATGATGAAGCGGCTATCACACCAGGCGGCCCACCAGCTGGCGCACGCACCAAGGCGACCACGCATGAAAGGTGTGCCGGTGGGTGAAGTGTCGAGAGCGGCGAGGACGTCCAGCTCTGGTAAGGGGTGCAGGGAGGAGCGTACGAAGAAGGGTGAGTGTTGAGGCCACGTAATCGTATCTTATCATTTTTTTTTTTTTTTTTTTTTACTCGTCTCTTTTGCATTACCTCCTGCCTTCCTTTCTTCTCTCTCTCTTGAACCCCTTCTCCTCCTCCCTCTTTCTTCATCTTCTTTCTGTCTCTCTCTCTCTCTCTCTCTTTTTTTTTTTTTTTTTTTTTTGTTAGTAGAATCGCATCGGTAAAGTAAAAAGGGCAATCTTTTTTAAATAAGACAGTTGCTCGTAGATCTGAAAAAATATAACGGCATAATCATACATAGATCTTCACACAATCTTAGTGGGCCTATTGGCGCCCTGGCCACGCTGGGGGCAATCCGCGATCCCATGTCCGGGTTCGCGACAGTAGAAACAACGCCCGTCACCGTCACGGCGCCACGTGTTCC